TTTGTTTTTACAAATCAGGAAAGATTTGGCCATACAGCCACTGTCATACATGGATCAGGTGCAATCATTCTCACAGATGTCAAGCTCCAGTAAAGTTCCGCAGACAAATAAAATTGACTCGGCTGGCTGCCAAGTTTCCGGAATTTTTTTTTACTATTAGAACAGGCAACGTTTACCAAAGGTGTACGCCAGGCTCACTAATGCAGCAGCCGCCTATTAATCAGCAAAAGGTAGGTGTTGTTTTCTAAGAACCTTTACGCCGGCACTGTGGATTAAGCCAAATATTATCAGTTTTCATCTAATTATTTCTCAGAGGGTCTCTCTAGCTCCACACACCTGCCACTTCTCCTTCTGAAAGACAGAATTTAATTAAAATCAGGAGCTTGTGCCTACGCACCTTCTTTTTGAAAAGGGAGATGTAGTATCAAGAAGCAAGTCAGGCACCAATACTGCCAACCCTCGCAGTTTTGCCATGAGACTTAGGATCTTTAGTGGTCTTAAAGATTAATCTCTTAAAACCCTGCAATTGCAGAAAATTGCAGATTTCATTTTAAAAAGAGAGTTCTGAGCCTCGTGTTAAAAAGGCTTAGACCCTAGGAGGTAAATGACAATAACGACATATGCAATTACACTTAAACTCTTCCAGTCTCATAATTTGAGAAGAAATGACTCACAGCTTGTAATATTTAAGTGACATCAACCTGGTAATGACAAGCATTTACAAGCATTTTCACGCAAAGCCATAACAAGCCGTGTCTCTGATTTCGGAGTCGGAGTGTGCCCTTGCCGGTGTCAAGCTGTATACGGCTGAGTAGCATCAGCTAAAATTTCGGGATACTGGACTCGGTGATAGACTCAGCCCTTTCCTAGTCCTCAGCTACGCTAACGGACTTTTAATTATTGCAGGTTTTAACCAGAGTCTGTGTTCAAGCTGCACCTGCCCGAGAGATGGCAATGTCTCACTGTCGGACACCGCCTGCCCAAGGCGAAGCGCTTTGCCTTAGCACAAGCTTTTGTCCTATGCTTGTTATTCCTTAATAAGCACCGCAACCATTCTCTGTTTTAACACTGTGTGACCCAGTCAGCCTGAAACTACCCGAGTTAATAAGCACTTGTGAGAAAAAAGGGCTGCTAAATCTCCCCAGCAGCAGATTTTATTCAGCAGAGAATCTTGTCCTGCTCCTCTGTGGCATGACACAGTGACGCAGACTCCTTTGCAGGTGATTTTTCACCGGGAGGTGTTGCAACACCCCCTGGAAATCAGGAAATGGAAATATCTGCTTTCCTTTAACCCAAATTCTTCTTTGCTCTGGCAAATATATGTTTAGTAATAAAGCAAAGTTACAGATCTTAGTCACATTGTTTTAACGAGTCGCGTGCTGCAACCTTAAAATCCTGATAGGAGGCAAAGAAACTGGGAACAAAATTGTGTGCATGTGTGTGCTGGGCTAAAAAACTGTTGGGAGGTTATCACATTTACAAAAATAAGAAGTAACAGAGGGGAGAATTGGTTTTTTCTGACATGCCAACGAGATGCAAAGGACTTCGGATGAGCACTGACGTCAGAGGAAAGTTTCCCACTGCTTTCTTTGGAGCAGATGTCTAATACCCATGCAAGGTGAAAATTAACTGTCCTAGAAACACTGCTCCCCGTTTAACGACAGGTGAGAAGCAGTGTGAGAAGAACATGGGGGGGGCCCCTCCCCGCACCTCGGCACCCTCAGAGCCGAGCCGCAGCGGCAGCAAGACTCTTGTTGGATTTGCATCTCCCAACAAGCGCAACCCCCCGTGGTCTCCTGCATGGGGGCTGCGGCTGCCAGCGTGGGGCTGGGAGAGCAGCTTCTGGCTCTGCCACAGCTCTGCTACGGGGCTTCTGTAAGGAGGAGCAACTCCTGCTCTGCGGAGTTACACTCCCACCCACCAAAGCACCGTCCATCTTTCTCCCTCGCACATTTATCCTGATTTCCCCTGGAGGTCCCCTGAGAAGGGCCACGGCACAAACCTCGCCACCTCCTCTGCACCCCCTCCAGCAGCAGTAATGATACAGTGGAATGCATAATAACACGAGGTTATAATTATAAATAAAATGCATCATCATTTTTAGATCTTCTGATCGGGGCAAGAGCAGTAACCTCCTTTCCATCCCTCCTAGCAGGCCTTGAAAAGGGAGGAAGAGCAAAACTTGCCTCGGTGGGAAGGATTTCCACGGCAGTAGTTGCTGCTTGTGAGGAGGCAACAGAGCCCTGTTTGGACTCCAAACGTAGCGACGAGCTTTGCCATCTGCCAGACCTCGTGGTGAAATGTAGCATCTTTTTACAAGCAGAGCTGCAAGACGAAGCCGGGGGTTTCCACATTGGTGGGCACAGCTGTGAAGAAACAGGGATGAGGTTCAACAAAGGCAAATGCAGGGTCCTGCACCTGGGGAGGAACAACCCCATGCATCAGTACAGGCTTGGGGCGGACCTGCTGGAGAGCAGCTCTGAGGAGAGGGACCTGGGTGTCCTGGTGGACGACAAGGTGACCACGAGCCAGCAGTGTGCCCTGGCTGCCAAGAAGGCCAATGGCATCCTGGGATGCATCAAGAGGAGTGTGGCCAGCAGGTCGAGGGAGGTTCTCCTTCCCCTCTACACTGCCCTGGTGAGGCCTCATCTGAAGTACTGTGTCCAGTGCTGGGCTCCCCAGTTCAAGAAAGATGAGGAGCTAC